ATCCTTGGAGTCAGGCCCGCCTCCTCCCTCTCTGACGCCACAGGAACCACACCCCGAGTCCATCAGATCCAGCTTCAGAGCCCCTTCACAGCCCCCGTCATCCCACTGCCTCCCTGCTGCCACTGCCTCCCTGCCGCCACTGCCTCCCAGGCCGCACTGTCACCCTCGCCCTCCCGGGGAACCGCCGCTGCCTTCCCGGCCCTCTGTCCGCTGCAGTCTGCTCCCCGCGCAGCAGAGCTTGCCAAGCCCGACCCGGTTCCTCTGCACCCTGTAACCGGTCTGGCCTCACGCTGCTTCTTCTCTTTCCAGCTCTGCTCGGGCCAGCTGCTCGCCCACCCTCCAGTCTGTGTGTGTGCTAGGCCCTCCCTTGCAACGTCCTCCCCCAACGCCCCACGGTCACCGCCGCCTCCTCCCCCGAGTCCAGCCTATCACCTGCTGCACGATGCACGCCGAATTCCCTAACGGCGTCTCCCCACACTCCCTGCCTCCTTTTCCCGCTTTACTTTCCTCCAAAGCACCCGTCGCCATCTACCACACTCATATTGTGCTCATTTGTCTTATTATTTGTCCTTGACCTCCAGTAAAATGTACACCCCATGAATGCAGGGAATGGTGTTTGCTTAATGCTCTATCACTCATTCCTAGAAAAGCTCCCAAACACAGCAGACGCCGAGTAAAACGCGTCAGCAGAAGGAGAGGCGCCTGTACTGGCGCCCCGTTCAAGCCACGGGGCAGGGCGTTCCCATCGTGGCCCATCAGCCACCGCAGGTCCGGGCCGAGGTTCCCGCAGAGAAGAGCCGGTGTGGCACCAACGGGCCTGGCCAGGGCCCTTGGCATCCTCGAAGGAGAGATCAGCTGCATCTGCGCGGCAGGGACCCTGGGGAGCCGCAGGCGCCGTAGCCCTGCGCTCCTGGTGCTGGCGGGCAGCGCGGACTCAGATGCCCAAGTCCACCCTGAGCGGCATTACAGGGCGGGCCAGCAGCACGTGGTGCGAGCAGCGTGCTGGGAGCTCCGGGGCATGCTGGGATTGCAGGGCGTGTCTAGAGAGCTGGTGCGCGGGGCATGCTGGGGTGGCAGGGCGTGTCTGGAGAGCTGGAGCACGGGGCGTGCTGGGGTTGCAGGGCAGGATTGCAGGGCCAGCCCGAAGCAAGTGGTGCGCGGGGCATGCTGGCAGTGGCGCCCTAGACCAGCAGGGAGGTCGCAGAGGAGCGAGGAGCAGCGGGCTGCGGTGCCACCGAGGTGAGGACGGAGGGGGACCTCTGCTAAGGGGGCCGAGCGCGAAGAGCGCGAGGAGGAGGAGGCCTCCGCAGCCCTGCCGCCTGCCCACAGCTTCCGCCCGCCCACAGCTTTCTCAGGCGAAGGAGCAGGCCCGCGCCCCAGCCTCAGGAGGCGTCAGCTCGACGGCCTCGCTTTGGGTTTTCAGGCTCGTACTTCAGTGGTCGGGATGCAGCCCAGTGGGGAGGGGACTCGGCCGTGTCTACGCCAGGCGGGGGTGCAGCGTGCACGGCCCTGACCCCGGCACTTTGCATGGAGGTGGGCGCGCGCCACCTGTGGCTGTGGGCCGGAGAGCGCGCATTCGGGCGGCCCTCGGTCTGGCTTTCGGGGCGTCTCACTTGTCGGTAGGTGACCGTCACCCTGGAAACAGCCTGTTTAAACTGAGGAAAGGCCAGGGGTGCTGCCGCCCAACCCCGTGCCGCCACCTTCGGTGCAAAAGGGAGGCGCAGAAGGGAGAGAGAGGAGCCTGCGGCACTTCCGGTCGGAGCTGTTCCCGCGGCGGGAAGAAAGGCCGGAAGTGGCTCCCACTGAACAAGGTCCGGGTCCGCCCCGCGAGGCGTTGGGCTCTGAGGCCCGGCGCTAGAACTCGGGGGGCCCCTGTGCTTGCCGTGGAGCTGTCGCCGGAACCGTGAGTGCACGCTTCGTCCAGACCCCGGATGTGGACGAAGCTGGCGCCCGGGTCCTGAGCCTTTCATCCCGTCTCTCTCGTCCGCTCTCGGGAACGGGGGCGACCCTTCCGTCTTCACGCTGGGCGAATTATGACCCCGGAAAGTGTTTAAAGGTGGTGCTACACAAGCGAAGGAAAGCCGTCCCGGCCTGTTCCCGAACAGATCCCTGTTGCGTGCGTGCAGTTTCCTGATCAGCCTCTGGCGGTCGGCAGCGTTTGCTGGGGAAATGAGATAGAAAGTAATTTCAGGAGGAAAGGGGTTTCAGAAATAAAAGTGACGTCGCAGGTGTTGGCCCACAATCACGTGACCCGTTTTCTTTAAAAGACGCCGAGTTGCGCCTCGGGGCCCAGGCCGTCATCGGTTCCGTGCTGGATGTTGTTTTCTCGTTCATGGTCGCTGCCTTCCACTGAAACGCGTCCCAGGATGTGACTTCGGGCGAAACTGCGAGGGAGGTTGTGTTTGCCTGGCATTTCCACGGGAGAGCGTGGAAATGCGAGAAGGAAGGAGTGTTTTCACTTTTAGTCTCGGAAATGATTGGGTCGTGAATACTTCGTGCGAGTTCGCTTGTTTGCTGCTCTGAGAGCACTTGCTGAACAGCCCAGTGGTTTTCCGCCAGTGAGAGATCGATGGGAACTTCAAACACTGGTTCTTGAGCAGCAGGGCAGTGCCTGAGGGAGGCTCCGACTCCTTCCCGAGATGGGACTTGGGCCTGGTGAGCCTCCAGATGCCGGTCGACGTGGGATCGCTTTTCTTGTTAAAGAGAGAAAATATGTCCATGTCAAAAAATCTGGAGAACTGGAATCCCACTTTTATTCTGTGTGGTATTTGTGCTCGTTAGAAAAGTGGAGCTATGGCAGAGAGCTGAACAAGCAGCACTGCTCCCTCTCTGGCCCCTCCCCTGCATATAGCACCACGACCCAGCCACGTGGGTTGCCCTCCCTGGTGAATGCCTAAGGCTCTGCCCCTTACTACCTAACAGGTGCTGCAGAGGCAAAAATAAAGAAACAGAAATGGCCCAAATGAAAGAACGGGTCAAAGCTCTGGAAAAAATACAATTAAACGAGTAAGAGATAGCCAACCTATCAGATGCACAGTTCAAAACACTGGTAATCAGGATGCTCACAGAATTGGTTGAGTATGGTCGCAAAATAGAGGAAGAAGTGAAGGTTATGAAAAGTGAAATAAAGGAAAATGTACAGGGAACCAACAGTGACAGGAAGGAAACCGGTACTCGAATCAACAATATGGAGCAAAAGGAAGAAATAAACATTCAACCAGAACAGAATGAAGAAATAAGAATTCAAGAAAATGAGGAGAGGCTTAGGACCCTCTGGGACAACTTTAACATTTCAACATCTGAATTATCGTGGCGCCAGAAGGAGAAGAGGAAGAGCAAGAAATTGAAAACTTATTTGAACAAATAATGAAGGGGAACTTCCCCAATTTGGCAAAGGAAATAAACTTCCAGGAAGTCCAAGAAGCTGGACCCAAGGAAGCACACATCAAAGCACATCAAAATTCCATTACCCAAGATCAAAGATAAGGAGAGAATCTTAAAAGCAACAAGAAAAAAGGAGACAGTTACCTACAAAGGAGTTCCTATCAGGCTATCAGCTGACTTCTCAAAAGAAACCTTAAAGGTAAAAAGGGGCTGGAAAGTATTATTCCAAGTCATGAAAGGCAAGAACATTTATCTAAGATTGCTCTATCCAGCAAAGCTTTTGTTTAGAATGGACAAAGGGCAGATCAAGTGTTTCCCAGATAAGTTCAAGTTAAAGGAGTTCACCGCCACCAAGCCCTTATTACATGAAATGTTAAAGGGACTTTAAGAAAAAGATCAAAATGATCAACAGTAAAATGCTAACAAACTCACACCTATCAACAGCCAAACCTAAAAACAAAAACAAACACAAAGTAAGCAAACAACTAGAACAGGAACAGAATCACAGAAATGGAGATCACATGGAGGGTTATCAGCAGGGGAGGTGGAGAAAATGGGAAAAGGTACAGGGAATAAGAAGCATAAATGGTAGGTAGAAAATAAGGGGAGCTTCCGAATACTATAGGAAATGTAGAAGCCAAAGAATTTATATGTATGACTGATGGACATGAACTAAAGGGAGGGAATGCAGGGGGAAGGAGGTGGGCAGCATGCAGGGGAATAAAGGGGAGAAAAAATGGGACAACTGTAATAGCATAATCAGTAACATTTAAAAAACAGAAAAGTGGAGATTAAATTCCAGTTTTTCTGTAAAGTAGTATATAAGGTAGACTTCAAAGGTACATCCTGTGAGTTTTCAGCTGTAAAATGTGTCCCTAGTAGAAGTTTTACAGCCATATAATTAGTGGAAAAGGAAACTAGATAATTTAGAGATTCAGTAAATATTTTCTGTAAAATGATGAAAAATGTATTCCTTAAGCTTGAATTACTTTTCGGGGGTAACCTGAAATAGCAGAACACTTTACTATACATTTTGATTTTTAAAAAATTATTATTGGTATAGGAAAGATCAAAATGAAACCTTAAGAACAGCCAGGAACTTTAGGAGGACTTTATTCAATAGAGTCAGCATGATAGAAATGTATCTAGTACCTAGAGCAGAGTAGGTATTTAATGGACAGTGCTGTTTTTATTATTATTATTTGTACTCAAATTATTCAATTTGTGGTATAAAACCAGATTTGAAATTCCAAATTATATATTTGAGGTGATAAAAGTGTTCTAAAATGTATTGTAATGGTCGCATAACTCAGTAAATAGAACAAAAACCATTCAACTGTACACTTTTAATGAGTGACTTGTATGTCACGTGAATTATATCTGAAAACACGTACCAAAAGAATTCTAGGTTATTAGAGAGCCTTAGAGATAAAATGGCAGTGATATTTAACTGCTGGAGTTTGCTAATTTGTTTTTATTACCTAATTCCAACACAATACCAAATACCCTGATGAGCTGGTGCTGCAACCCTGTTGGTAGGATGGTTTACTAACTTTTTATTGCTGGGCGATTGTTCTAGAGGCCTGGGGGCCGAGATGTCCGGCGGACAGGAAGAGATGAGCAACCCCAGGCTGCAGTCGCTGTTCTTCGTCACCGTCCCAGACTTGCGGAGCCTCTGTGCCGTCAGGGTGACACTGCGCCCCCTGGGGGCAGACGCCGCGGTCAGGAGCACGCAGCTGAAGGTGTGCAGGTGAGACGTACGTTCTGCTACGGCACTGCCCAGAGTTTCTGAGACCTGTAAGAGCTGTTTTGAAACAAAATACTCCTTCACTCATTCTGTGTATATAATTGTGAAACAAATTCAGTTTTGTTCCGCGCAGGTCCAGAGGATTACATTTAGGGAAGGACTTAAAATACTTGAGGTAGACTGTCTCACTGTTGAGTTGTTATATTTATGACTTCTTGTGTGAACTTTTTCAAAAAAGATTTTATTTATTTTTAGGCAGAGGGGAAAAGAGGAAAAAGGGGAGAGAAACATCAATGTGTGGTTGCCCCTCACACGCCCCCCACTGGGGACCTGGCCCCCAACCCAGGCCTGTGCCCTGAGTGGGAATTGAACCAGCGACCTTTGGTTCGCAGGCTGGTGCTCAGTCCACTGAGCCACACCAGCCAAGTTGTGTGAACTTTTTAATTTCAAGTTTTTATAGACACTGATGACTTAAATCAGGCTCCCCAAAACTTAATAGTAGTAGTTAATAAATACTGAGTACTTTCTGTTTATGAGGCACTTTAAAAGATACTGTGAACATTGTAGAGTAATATGATTTCTTAACATTCAGGTCAGTATAAGAGTATTTCTGAAGAGCATTTTTCCAAGAATGCTATTGAAATACCCATTCCAAGACAAGTCTTTGAAAAGCAGCTGAGTTGAGGACCCACCACGTGTTAGTCCCTTACCTGATTGAGGCGGTCAGAGGAAGACTCTGAGAATACGTGGTGGGATTCTACCTGTAGCTTAACTTCTTGGAGACGAACAGACACTTCTGAGACAGCTAGGAGTCAGAAATAAGAAAGACACGTGGGTGTCCTCCATTTTCTCTTATTCACAAGACTTTTTTCTCCCCGTTGTACATATTTCCACCCAGGGGCACCCAGGGGCCCGTCCCCTTCCTGCTAACGTGCGGCGTGATAGCAGTTTCCTGTGACCCCTTGGGAGACACGCAGATAGAACATCTGTACGTGCGGTTTTCTGCCGTGCGCTCTCAAATCGAAGGAGACCATGGCCACAGTGCGGGGGGCTGTCGCTGGTCCTCCTGGTGGCTGAGCGGCTGAGACAAGGGCAGGCCCTGCAGAACCAAGCGCCCGCCGCACCAGGGAAGAGGGGGCTGCCAGGGGCACTCTCAACAGCCCTTTGCGAGGTGCCCCCCCCAAAAAAAAGAATTCTCAGGGTTCTTAACACGTGTTTCCTTGAGGATTAGTAATTTGGAAAATTTTTATATTTCCAACTCTGTTCCTTTTTGTGTTTTTCCCACCTTCTCTGAAGCAAAATTATTGATGATCATTTCAATTGTGGTAATTTTTGTTCTAAGTTCATTTGGCCCTTGAATGCTAAACTAAAACCATTAATGCCATTCTGGCTTGGGAAAAAATTCATTTTTGCAGGAAAAGAATCTAGTCAATAGTTCTAACGTTCAAATAGTTGATAATTTTTCTGATAGTTGAATCATTAGACTGCCCCCGCCCCGCCCCGTTCCCCCAACCATGTAAAAAACAAAGGAAAACGGAGAAACTGGATTTAGGAGAGATGTTTTCTTCAGTGTCAAGACTTCTTCAAGTCTATAGTTAGGGTGGAAATGGGGCTTTAAAAGAGGAATTCTCACTCACAGATGAAAGAGGTTAGGACATTCAGATGCAGGGACTAGGTTACATATTAATACCAGTATCTAAACTTTTATAATTCTATTAATTCAAAGCTTGGCTGAGTGCCTGTAGTGTTCAAGGTGCCACCCTATGTGGGGAGAGATACAGAAATCTATAACACAGTCTTTGTCTAGAAGAGACTTAAATTTTTTACTAGAACAAAATGATTTTTCTATAGATTGATATTAGAGAGTGGGAGGAAGGGGGAGAGAGAGAGAGAGAAACATAGACTTGTTGTTCCCCTTACTTGTGCACTCATTGGTTGATTCTTATATGTGCCCTGACTGGGGATCAAACCCACAACCTGGGCATATCGGGACGATGCTCCAAGCAGCTGAGCCACCTGGCCAGGGCTGGAACTGGTTTTTAAATGTTCTAATAAAGTAAAAACAGACAGTAGGCAAGTCGACATTAAAATTAATACATTTCATCTCCACAGGCAACTGCTGTTGTTACACCAAGATATTCTTGCATCGCCTATACCTGGAATTTTTAGCCAAATTTGGGTGGTGATGGCGGTTAGTATTTTAACATTTTATAAAAAGTATTACTACTAATTACTTTGGGCAGTACTGGTACACAGTAATTCAGGTACTAATTATAGCTCAAACTAAAGATGTTTTATGAAGATAAGTTACATTGTTTTGTAGTTTGATTGAACCATTAACCGACTTTAACTTCAATATACCTGATGTTTAAGATTCATTTTTGTGGTTCTAATATTTAGTTTTCCGTGTCATAAATGCTAAGATAAAGAGTAGAAATGAGGATGTTATAGCAAAATTTTTGAAGATTCACTCCTTTTCTCATATTTTATTCTTTAGAATTACACTTAATATAAAGGAAGAAAGTTCTCATTCCATCAAATCTCTAATTGTTTTTAAAGAATTTAGATCAACATATTTTTTTAATTTGGAAATTTAATTTTTATAGTTAGTAAAAATTATATTTCCCAGTGCTATATATAACTGAGAATGGTAATGAAGTACCAAAATCTTTATAAAAGTGACACTATCCTGAGATTTTTGTTAAAAATCTTTCTGAAAATCCTCTTCTGAGATTTTAATTTCCCAGAATCCAGTGAAATCAACATTTATTAACAGTGCTGATAAGCCATATAGAATATTTAGGTCTTTTCTTTTTCTTCTAGGTTATGTGGCTATATGTCCAACTTTTTCTTTTCATCCTTAATATAGTTTTTAAGAAGAACAAACTATTGGTGAACAAGTAGACACTAATATCACGTAATTGTGTTTTTCCTACCTGAAAAATTTATGAAACAAAGAGGAGATTGTTTTAGAGTTCTAGTAAATTCAAGTATTCTAATCTTAGAATAACCATCTGAAAAATGTGTTTTGCTTTTTTATACATTACATGCTATAAAAATTTACAAAAATATTTAAAATGGAATTATCATGGATACTGTTTTGAAACTCGCCTTTCACTTTCACTTCCTAATGCACATCTTGAGTTTCTGGTGTTGTGCTCTTGCAAACAGTGCTTCAGGAAGCATCACTGAAATAATACCATTTGCATTTTTCTGGTAGTTTCTGTGGGTTGAATTCTTAGAACTGAGATTGCAGCACATTTTAAATATAATCTAGATACTGTGAAATTGCTCTCTGAAAAGCCATACTAGGTTACATTTTAACAAACCATGTTTGAAAACATCTGTATTTCCACGTGCCCACAGACACTGGGTATTTGCAGGCTTTCGCCATCTGCCGATCTTTCGGTCACCAGCACTGTCTGTTCATTTGTGTGGCTTTCACGGGGGAGCTGCACACCTTGGCCGTGTGAACTTTCTCTTGATCTCCCACTTATGCCCCTTTCCTTGTGAATGCCTAAGAATATACTATATATAAAGGAACATATTAATATGTACTGTATGAAACTTACCGGCCTCTTTTCATTGTGTGGTTTCTGGGTTCGTGCCACCCCCAGGAAGGCTTTCCTCCCTCGAGGGGAGCGCACCCGCAGGTGTGTTTCAGGGAGAGGCTGGCGTCCCCGAGGTGCGGGGCTGTCAGGGAGACGTCCAGTTCTGCGTGCCCTGCTGCAGAGCCTTCAGTGTCTTCTAGGTATTGCTTTACGTAGTAACACGTTTGTTAAGTCATTTTTATAAATGTGGATTTTTGTTATAGATACCATTTTATAAAGCTGGGAAGCTTAATGCCTATCTTGAAAAATATGGAGCTAAGGTAAGTGTTTTAAAAGATACAATTCCAGATGTTGTTTATATTGATTTTGTATTCTGCTTCTTTTGTCAGCCAACAAAAATTGGAGTCTCTTTCTTGTAAGTGCACGTGAAAGAACAGAACAGTTATTTTCATTTAGTAGAAACAGAGGGGAAGGGGCTAGCTTTTTGCTGGGTAACTTCTTGTGGGCATTTCACCTGGCATCATATTACTTACCATATGTAGCTGCCAAGAAGTGAATAATCTCATTCTACAGATGAAGAAAAACCCTGAGGGAGATAAAAACACTGTTTGTAACAATATAGCTAATAAGCGGAGGCACAAAACAGTATAAATTGTACTCATGGTGACGATTTCTGGATCTTAGCAAGGAAAACAGGGATACGTGGGTTGAGCACCTCGTGCGTCCCGGTTACTCAGGCCAAGGAGACGTGGCTGGTGATCGTGTCTCGTCTCCGCACGTCTCTCTGGGGCACTGTGCCCTCCGTGACTCCAGCAGGCCGATCTACAGGGGTCCAGGGGATTGGGGCTTCTGGCCCCCTCCAAGGTGAGGCGTGTCCTTGGGGTCTAGGAGGATGGTGAGGCCTCCCCGAGCCCCCAGGTGCTCTCACAGTTCCCTGAGGAGTCTCTGAGTAACCAGACAGCGGGCCTCAGCCGTCAGTCACCGTCTGCAGGAGAGCGGCACTCTTCAGGGACCGTGTGGGAGGGTGCTCGTTTCACCTTCGTGCTAAGACAAGTCCGAACTCCCAAAACCAAATTCGCAGGGTGTCGTTTTCCTAGAACTGGAAACTAGGTCTTTCAGGGATCTCTGCACAACTCTGTCCTTTGTCGTGACAAGCGTCTCAGTTTAGTGGAGATCCCTTTGCTGTCTTACTGGGGCTTGTGGAGAATTTAATCGTACTAATGCATTGACTTAAAGATCAAAATTGTGCTGTTTTTTGACAAGTGTGTCACAAAAACAATAGATACAATGTGATTTTAGAGATGAATTCTAAAGATTAAAAGTTATTTTTAGCCTAAGAATAGATCACATTTGAGTGCTGAGTTAGTAAAAGAATATGCCAAGTATATATAAAGATTATAAGAAAAAATTAAAAAACATAGCTTTTGCAGTCATTACACACTAATAAAAACACACTTCATTAAATATTTTCTTCCAGTCTTTTACTTCACACCTTTGGCTTTATCACTGCAAGTTGTCCAGTGTCCAAAATCTTTTTGTTTGTATTCTTGTCCTTTTCCCACATACCCGAGTTCCCCTTGGTTACTCGGTAGACTTGCTTTGTCCCCTTCCCCAGACTTCCACATCCCAAATGCCGGGATGCTCATAAGCCTTCTCCCGCCTGACTTACCTACCCTCTTGGGCCTCCATGGCTCTGCTCCACTTGTCTCTTTCTGGGTGCTTCCTGGGCAACAGTCACGGTAGCCAGCGGGTGGTTACTGAACATCTGTTACATGCTGAGCACTCCGCTTGCTTCTGGAGTTGAAGCCATGAACCAGACAAACTCCCTGCCCACAGGAAAACGTCTCCTCCTTTTTAAAAAGTTTCTGGAGTTTGTGTAGCGTTTTTATTATCCCTTCTATAAATGTTTGGTAGAATTCACCAGTGAAGTTCCCTGGGCCTGGAGTTATGCACAAAGGAAGGATTTTAAGTACAATCCAGTCTCTTTAATAGATGATAGAGATACTCAGACTGTCTGTCTCAAGGCCTGCGTCTCCCTCGTCTGCGCTGTCGGACTGATGACGTAAACGTGCTTGGGGTGCCGCCCTGTGTCCCTCTCAGCAGTGTTGCCTCTCCGCCCCCCTGACTGGCGGCGCGTCCCTTCTCCCCTCCCTCACCAGGCTACTGGAGGCCTCCGGTCTCCCTGCTCGCAAAGAACAGCTTTTGGTCTCGTTGGTTTTTCTTGTTTTTTATTTCACTGATTTTCATTTTGGCCTTTATTATTTCCTTTCTTAATGCTTATTTGGGGTTTATTTCTATTGCATTTTCTTTGGGGGAGATGCAAACACAAGTAAAACGTGATCCCGCGCAGTGGTGGTGACAGTGCCCTTGGGGATAACCAGAACAGGCATCAGAGGTCACGGTGGGGGCTAGGCTGGACCTGGGCAAGAGAGCGCATCGCACCAAGGGTCTGCAGCTGTGCAGCCCCGTGGCCTCGCACAACACGTGACGCCTCACCCGAGGCCACGCTGTCGTTTGATTCGTGCTGTGTTCAGTTACCAGGCCCTTCCCCACAGAGCACGACACCGAACCCCCTCCGCAGGGCAGGGTGAGCTCCAGTAAGGCACGGGCACGCCGGCTTCGGTTCGCTCAGCACGGAGCTGAGCACATGGCGGGCACCCAGGGAATGTGCCGAAGGAATAATGAGGACACGCATCTCCTGTGAAATCTCGTTAGCAAAGACTAACTGATACTTATATTTCTTTTTCCAGCTACTTAAGGTGGAAGTTGAGGTCACTGATTTGAGAACCTTTTCTTTTCCAATGTAGACACACTTAAGTGCTATAAATGTCCTCGTAACCGTATTTTGCTTTCATTTTCCTCAGTTCAAAATACTTTCTAATTCCCCTTTGATCTACAGGTTAGTTAGAAATGTGTTGTGTAGTTTCCACATACTTGGGGGTATTCTCGGGATTTTCTCAAATCCTCACCTGAGGGTATGTGTATGGATTTTAGTGTGTTGGTTTTAGAGAGAGGGGGAGGGGGCGAGAGAGAAACATCAGCCAGTTGCCTGCCGCGCGTGCCGGCCGGGGTTGACCCGCAGCCCTTTGGCGTGGTGGGGGGACGATGCCGCAGCCAGCCGAGCCGCCCGGCTGGGGCCTGGGATCTCTCTGTCCCTGCCCTCTACTTCAGCTGTAGCCGGAGGACGTGTTTCGCATGACCTGAATGTTTGAGAGTTTGCTGGGGCTTGTTTGGTGGCCCAGAGCACGGTCCGCCCTAGAACATGGTTCTCGTCCCCTTGGAACGAACGTGTGTCGTGCTGTTGTGCCGCAGGGTCTACAGGTGTCGTTGGGTCACAAAAGTTGATGGCGTTAAGGTCCTGTATCCTCACTTTCTGTCTGCCCGTGGGATCAGTTACTGAGCACATATGGCGCAGGATTTGCCTACAGCTGCAGCAGACGGGGTCGGCGAGGCCACCCCTGCCCTGGAGGGCGTCTGGGGCAGCAGGCAGGGTGTGTGTGAGTGGCAGAACTGCCCCGGCCTCCCTCTGGCCGGGCCCGGCTGCTGCGAGCCGCACATCCTGCCCAGCCTGGGTTGAGGTTGGCTCCCTGCGGCGGATCCTGATGGCCGACGGGACGCGTTCAGCCGCCCGGGTCCGGCACCCCGGCGGCACGTGTGAAGTCAGCGGTGCAGCTGGGCCGCCGCCCGCTGCTGGAGCCCTGTAGACGGGAGCCCTAATTCCCTTTGAGACGAGGAACAGATTCGGTCCTGTCCCCACCAACAGGTGACTGGCTTGCATCCGGGGAAATTCACCAGGAGCCCACATGGCATGAAAACGAGGGGGGTGGTGTTGGGGGACAGTTCTCCGGGCACCGTCACTCTTCCGCGTGTCCCGCCAGCAGGGGCACATGCAGCGTTTTCCTCGGGACCGTGTCCGCACAGACGTGCAGAGAGCATGGCCTTGGCTCTCTCCCAGCCCGGAGTGGCTTCCTCACTGGCGTGTGCCCATCCGCACCCGCGAGGGGCTCCCAGGTCTCAGGGCCCGCTGTCCGTGCCGCTCTGTCACCTCCCACGCAGTGTCCTCCAGACTCTGCCGCCCTGTCTCCCTGGAACCCCAGCTCCGTCCCCTCAACCCAGGGAGCCCCCCGCACCCCGCACCACACCCGGAAACCCTCTTCGGTCAGTGTGCTCGTTTCTGCCTCTCAGGGACCGCTCCTCTTCGTGGCTTGATGTCCAGCGTCCTGTGAACCACGGTTGCCTGATTTTTAGTGTTGTCTCAGGCGGGAGGACAAGTCTGCATCCTGTTAGTCTCGTTGGTCAGAAGTCCTACTTCTAAAAAATCCTCTGCAAAGAGAGATGCTTTGCTGGTATCCGTGTAATTATCTCGTCGTTTCCAGGTGCTGAGCTGGACGGCGTGAACAGGAATGAGGAGTGGTAGTGCAGCGCAGTTCTGCTCTGCGTCTTCTGTGCGGAGGGGGCCAGAGTGCAGTGCAGGGCCTAGCGCAGGCACTCTGAAGGTCCGGGCTCTGGGTCAGGACACGCAGGGGGTCGGGCTGTCGCGGCCTGGCAGCCCTCATGGCTTCAGAGTGAAAAGAGTTCAACGCTTCTTAACCTTCAGACCAGATGGGGTTGTGGTGACCATGGCGATGACTACAGCTGACATCCAGAACAGCCCGGCCTGTCGGGGGGGGGGTGGTCCCAGCACAGACATTCCCCGTGAGTCTGTAGGGACATGCTGATTGCCGTGATTGGCTCATATTTTGTCCTTGAACCTTTCCAGGCAGAGGCGCCACAAAGGGTCATTCCTGCAATTCTTCAGAACTGCCTTTCGTACTCACTCACGGCCAGACTCGCCCCAGCCTGGAACAAGACTGGCCATCTCCTGGTGCAAGGTGACTTTACCTCTCCCCGTCACTGTGACTTCCTCAGGCAGGTTCCTTCCCTTTGGGACTCTGCTTCCAGGAAGTAGTTGCTAACGCAGAGCCCAGCCACGCGTTCTCAGGCTTGTTTCTTTAAGAACATACGTTTATTGTGTAATGCTTGGTGCTTAGAAGAAAAAGATACAAGTGATGAGAATTACTGTAAAATAAACAGAAATTACTAATATTGCTAGAACCAAAATTACTGAGTTTTATGTTGAGGTCTGACCATTTTTTAAGCATTTTATACTACAGAATAAATATTTGAAGGTATAATTAGGTATTTTTATCCTTTTAATTGAAGAGATAGTTTTTGAATGGTTATATTTTTATGTAAGCTGACATTTCTTTGTATAAGACTGCATTTTAAAGTGTTTTCCTTAACTTTTATAATTTTACATAAAAAGTTGTATTTATCAAGCATGATTTATGGGTTATAATAATATGGTATATATTATCAATTTTTTAAGGAAGAGAGTTTCTTTCTCAGATGGGAAAGCAAAATGCTGTTGGTAAGTAAAAATGCTTAAGTTAATAGATGAAACATTAATATAATCAACAGTTGTTAAACAGTGTTACAGATTGTTGAGTTGTTGTAATCGTGGTGATTAGGTCATGTCACAATTCAAACAGGTGTTATAATCACAATTTCACCTGGGAAAATGACCTCTGATTCAAAGTACATAGCCTACCTCATTGACAAAAATTCACTTCTCTCAATTTCAATAAAGCTATAATTTTTTTATTTCTTAAAAAAATTATGACTGTGAAGGAGTTCAATTCTTACAGCCATTTATAATGTGTAGTTTCCAGTAAAAGCTTTATTATGAGAACGTGATTCTTTTTAAAAAAGTCTGAAAAGACACAGATGATCTGGAATGACAGTTTATGATATGGTCTAATCCAGTTCAATGATGTGGCTGCACTTTGCAGGCAGGCAATTTCCCCAACGGTGATCCCGAGAGAGCAGATGGGTGGGAGTCCTAGGCCCCCGCAGGCATGACTGATCGGTCCCGGCAGCGTCCCCACCCTCGGGCGCAGCCCTGAATCCGGGCTGACAGCTGCCGTCCGCAGCTCTGCAGTCCCAGCCGCCCCCCTTGTCCTCCAGCTGGGACCCAGTGGGCTCACTGCTGCATTTAGTTCCGTCCACGGGACTGGCAGGAGACGACAGCTGTCGCAGGTAACCGTTTATTAAAGACAACAGTAAATTAAAGATAACAGTTTAGGAGAGCAGAGTCCTCCACTGCTGTGTTAGAACTGTGTCTGCCAGTTCACTGAGCGTCATACTCGACAGCGAGACGGACAGATTGGAAGTGTGGAGCTTGGTGGGTTTTCACCAACTAAAGGTACCCTGAGACCAGTTCTCGGGTCAGGAAGCAGAACGTTACCAGTACCCCACAGCCCCTCCTGCCTTGTCCTGGGTGTCACCCCTCCCCAGGGCGACCATATGTGACTTCGGTAAGGGCTTCCAGTTAAGAGAAAGCGGGCAGAAGCCTGGAGGCCCCATCGGACGCAGGGGAGCACGCCAGAGCACCTGCGGGCGTTGGCAGGGCCAGACTGCCGGGGTCAGGCAGTCTCCGGGGTCAAGCAGTTTCCGTCTCTCGCGCGGCGTGGGCGTCGGACCTGCACAAGGGGCTGGGGCGGGTCTCCCCTCACCTGTGGGGTCTGGTTTCCCCTGCCGCCAGCCTGCCTGTGACCCCCCACCACACGCCCCCACACAGTCCCACGTACCCACACAGCCCACACGCCCCCACAGCCGCATTGTCCAGCCTGGGTCCTCCAGAGGCCTCAGCTGCGCCTGCCGGACACGGTGGGGGCTGCCTGTCACCACATGTGGAGAACTGTCCGTGCTTTCCTGCGTTCCCACCTTCAGTGAATTCAGTGAATTCTTGTCTTCCTAAAGTAGTTAATTTGATTGGATGGAGTAGTAACCCCAGAAAGTTTACGATTAAATGTTTTTTTCAGTATTAGCCATCAATGTAACAGAAACTCAAGTTTGTCTGAGCATAGAAGCTTACACAATCAGACTGCCGCCACCTGAGGTACCGCAGATTTTTATTTCTATGATTAACTTTATTATATGTGCTAGATACTTAATACATTTCTTATTATTACACACATGCTAGCAGGTTTTAATTTTTAATAAGAGTGGTAAGATTTTTTAATTTTCAAAATCCATATTAAGTTCTTGATATATTGGTGGTGTTCTTAGTCTGTTTACCCAAAGAAATTATTGTCAGCTCAGCACAGACCCAGTCATGCTATTCCCCCATTCGAGAACCTTTGCGGTGGCCTTCAGGGCCCCGCTACCCCAGCACACCGCAGTTACACACAACACTCTTGCCTTCTTCGGAGAAGGACCTGTCTTTTATTTTGCTGTTCTCATGGCCCCCAAGTACACGGCTTAACTGCCTTTGTCTGCAGAAAGCGTCCTCCAGTTTGGCCTCCACTGTATTTATTGTAACAGACACACAGTCCCACTCTTTATTCCTGAAAAAGGTGGACAGCTCTGGGAGGAGGTGGCCCGCCTGCACCCTAGAATGAGGCCGACTGACCCACCCGCGAGTGGCGGTGTGGGACCCACAGGCTCCCTGGGGAGATCAGGCCCCACTCCCAGCGTGACAGAGCGTGCACAGCGGGCTCTGCCCACACGCCAGCTCCCACGGGGAAGAGGAGGGAGCGGTCCCAGCTTCGCCCACCAGATAAATGGCCTCACCTGCTCTATTTTAAGCAACAGGCGTTGCATAGCGGCATCAGGGCAGTAGAGCCCCTGTCAGCACGGGAGCAGACCCCAGAAATGAGGGGGTGCTCCGCTTCCTCTTTCCAGCCCAGTGCTGCGCGCTCAGCACATGCTCGTCCGGTTCATTTACGTTCCCCCCCTCCGTTGTCCTCTGTCATTAGCCCCTCTCCGTCTCGCCTTGCCCACCTGTTCGGTGGGGCACTTGCCAGGCCCCGACTACCAGAGCAGTTGGTTCTGCGTGTCTGTGAAGCGGTGCAGAACGGGGCGTTAGCGTGGGCCGTGGGAGGGAAAGCATGAAACACGTGTGGGAGTGTAGAGGAGAAACTGTGAGCCAGAACACGGACCACGTTGTGGGAAGTGGTTGGCCCAGCGTACCTGCAGCCTTCAAAGTCACAGCTGGCTGTGTGTGTGGGTCTGTGATGTTTCTTTTTGTTGGCAAATTCTTTTGAGGACTTACGCATTAAAATCTTATTTCTGTTAAAAGCTACAAGAATTCGGTATTTCTCAAAGTGTTATAAAGGACTTCGAAAGTCACAAGAGTGCCGTCATTGAGGGACACTCGATTTTAAGCGGCGAGTGCTACGTTCTGCCAAGGTGAGAGTTGGGGCTGCGGTACCTCGAGGAGGGCGTGGTCTTCCGTTCTTCTCTGATTGTGCCTCGGCACTGACAGTGCAAAAGCAGAAACCACTCTGTGACTTTTTGAAACTGGATTATAACTTTACGGAGATGTCACAGGTGTATTGTCCCACTTACAGAAGCCGCCCATTCCCTCTGTCGGGTGACTGTGAGATCACGTTATTGTACAGTAAATGTACAGCACACGTTTGTAATACGTTTCACTGGACTGTTTCTAAAGTGAAATTTCTAGATGTCCCATGAGATTAAAACTATCACAATAATCTCAATATAACCTTGAGAACGTTTACGTATAGTTAATGATTCATTATTACTTGATATGAGTTAAGTTTGTACTATATTCAGAAAAAAATGGCTTGTTGTTAATATGAATAGGACTAGTGGGATGAAATTTTAACCTGCTTTATGAACAATAACGTTAGCAAGCATACACATAATAATTTTATCATTCAGGAAAGGGTAGATGGGAAATACAGATTTAACTCGTAGTTATTCAACTCTTAAGCTTTTCTCTCCAGTCTCACGACTACCAGGCGTATCTGTTTGTGAGAACACTGGTCGTTATTTCGTGTTCGTAGCCGGCGTAGGGTTGGCATCAGTTCAGTTCAGTGTCTCCTCGCAATTCTAGGTGAAATTTAAATACAGGGTGTGTTTGGAACGAGGAACAAGTGATGAGTTTATCGCTTACGTGTTGGTGGTTGCTGAATCTCCTCGCACGCGGTCTGAGTCGCATGGTTAGACCCCCCCTGAGCGGTGGGGCTAGGTTTAACTGTGGGGCTCATGCCGCGCCACCGCTCTCGCCTCTCACAGCATGAAAAGGGGACAGATCCTCAGCGTTCTTCGTGCCGCGCCTCCCGACTGCCCCTTTCACGCGTACGCAGACTTCCAGACGCACTGGGAGGACCTGGTGAGGGGCAGGCGCGCGCCGCGGGTTACCGGGTTTGGCTCCTTGTGAGGGGATCTCCGTTTAGCTCTCCCTCCGGAGAATTTCAACCTCGCCCTTCCCTTGCAGTACGGCTACCAGCTTCCAGAAGCCCCCGGAGGGGCCGAAGTGTACTGCAGCGTCCACTTCCTGATGCCGGGCGGGAGGGCCTTCACATATCCTTGAACGCGGGTGGGGGCAGCTGTCCCCGCCCGGGCCTGTCCCTGCCCCCTTCTCTGTGTCCCCAGGGAACCGCGCTCCTCTCCACTCCTTGCTGTCTGCACGAGTCCTGCTCTGTTCTCCGCGTCTTCCCGTTTGTGTTTGAGGGTGCGCTTCACAGGGGCGTTTCCTCCCTGAAATGCTGCTGCCGCTGCTGCTGCTGCTGCTGCTGCTGCTGCTGCCGCTGCTGCTGCCGCTGCTGCTGCTGCAGCGGTTCAGACGGCGGGGACTGCCAGGGAGACAGGAAAAGCGCTTCCTTGGTTTCTAGTAGACAGGAAGAATTAATCACAGGTTCTCCTTGGCCAAGGGCTCCCTCCAGTGGCATTTTGGTACTTCTGAAAGGGAGGACTCAGAGTGAGTTTGACAAAGAATTTTATTTCTGGAAAACTGTTTTACAGGCAAAATTTAGAGGGCTTGACTCGTACTTGATGTACCCCATAAACTTAGGGAAACATCTCAACATTACTTTAAAAGTCTGCCCGTGAGAGAGCCCGAGTGAGGAGCCCAGGTGAGACTCTTCAGTCTGCATCCGGACCCTGTGGTCCTGTCCCTTTGCCTTGTCACCGCTGGGTTTCCGAGGCGGGGGGGGGGGCCCACAGCGTTCTTCCTCTGTCCTGCTTCCTGACCCAGATGCGCCACAAAAGGCAAGTGGGCGGGTGCAGGTTTCAGTCATTCCCTCCCGTTAGATGCCAGGTCCCCGTTCCAGCTCCCCGGAGGGGTCTTCACCGGGAGAGTGGCTGCTGTTCCCCAGGAGCTGCCCCTGGGGCCGCAGAGAAGCCTGCCCGTGCTGCTCCTCTGTGCTGCTGAGCCCTCGCTGCCTTCCGGACGTGCGGCCGCTCCTTGGTGACCGTAAACACTTCTGTGGTCCACACAGGCGCAGCGTCTTTCTTGTAGGTCAGTTTTGGAATGTCGTCGTTGCCAGCCTGTGCAGAAAGCCTTCTCCTTACTGTCTCTTAAGGAGACAGTGAGTTGTCTCGATTGTGAGTATTAAACCAGAAGTAATTAGTATTACTCCTGGAGGAAACGTGCTTTTTTAGCTTTGGATTATCCACTTGGAATGAGCTGGCTGGGAACAGATGAGCCACGTGTGAAATAGTTAGGGTTTAGGTGTGTGCACGCCCCAGCAGCCGCTGTCTCTCGGCCTCTCTCGGTCCACAAAGCCGTCCCGCTGGTCCTTAACGCCACCCACCTACCCGCTGTGCTGCGTCAGAAGTCAGCCCGTGCAGTTCTTCCCGAGGGTGGATTTGGACGGTGTGCTGAAAAGTTTTCTTTCCGACGTGAAGTCCAGACTGCCTCACATCTGTGGATTTCCCATTAAGATGACGACGAAGTCGTGCTACTGCACACAGGAACTGACTACGCCACGTGTGCAGGTAAGAGACCCGTGTCCTGTCCCGTCCCTGAGACGCGCTGTGCGCCTGTCTGACCCAGACCTCAGTTCAGCGTCTCCCCGTCGGCTGCCAGTGGACTTGACCATCTGTCACTGCCATTGGTCATTGTGGCGCTTGGTCAGTGTAGTTCACCGGTCTGCTTAGTGTGAGCCCCTGGACTGGGGACCGTGCCGTGCCCTCGTCCCCAGCACCTGGGGCAGCAGAGTCATTAAGTGCTTGTCCAGTGAATGGGTGACCTCACAGGATAGTTGGGAAACATTTGCCTCATAAAAACCCAACTTGACTTTGAACTTCTGCCACTTCATTTGAGTCTGAGTGATTGGAAAGGGCTTCGAGTGATTTCTCTTACGGATATTAAATTATTTCAATACCATTTTCATTGTAAGATGATGTGCTAAGTGAAATCTTATTTATGAAAAGGAAGTAATGATTAAGTAATACCGATAAAGAAAATATGACGGCCTATCTTCACACTCACCAGAATAAGATATTTTTGTTCAAAGAAAACAAAATTAAAAGTTGTTAAAGAACGAATCTAGGGAAGTTAACTTCAAATTTTCAACAGCAGTCTTTCTTTGGACTAACACATAGTTAGCATATTTCCATCAAAGGAAAGATAAACGTTTGAACAGCTGGCACAGTCTGAAACATCCCATGAAGGAAATACGCCGTGTCTGCTCGGTGTCCCCTGCGGGAGGTGTCGGTGTCCCCCGTGGCTCGTAGCTCCCGCCGCTCCGGGGACTCGTCCCTCACATGGCATTGGCACGCCGTGGCCCCAGCACGCTGCCTTATGGCGCTTCTTCAGCTTTTGCCGACGTGCGGATTGTTTTAGCTCTTTCTAACCCACTCTGAAATTCGCTGGAGCCGGTGTGGTGGGCCCCATGCACCCCCTCAGGCCAGCCCACGTCACCCGCCACGAGCCAGCCACGAGCCGGCACGTGGCTCTCATGTCCTCGGCAGGGCCAGCTCTTCAGACCCACGGCCTAAATCAGAACCGTGGCCGCCTGGACGGCGGGGCTGTGGGAAAGGCTGTGTCCTCAGAGAGGAGTGTGGATGGACAAATACCGTCCACGTCTTTGTGATGATGAGTCTGAAATTTCTGCCCAGATACAACTGTTTAAAAAGTTCAGCTAGTGGACAGGACCAAACTTGAGGAATTTAAAGGATAGGCCATTACTTCGTGCATTTTTATTGAATATGCACAAATAACACTTCTTTTTATTAAAAAGTCATAAGCATGTGATTCCGTAACATAACAACATCACACTCAAGCACACCAGATGACAGTTTAGGTGAAGTGTTCAAATTGCTGTCCACATCGTAGGAGACATTCGCAGACCCCGCCAGCCTCACCCAAGCAAGCCTCATTGCTGCCAGCCTCTGTGTTTATTGAACACTAAGCATTTCTAGTCCACGTCTGTTTTAGAAACAGTGAATCCAAATGGTAGACTCAGAAAATTTGCTTCTTAACTGTGAAGTAACAAATTGGAAATTCTGGTCTTTGTTTTGCTCCTGAGAATAAAAATGTTCCCTACTCAATTTTACTTAGTGCCTTCTGTATGCCAGCTGCTTAATTAACTTATGCATATTAAGTTAATAAGTCATTTAATTGTCAAAATAAACCCTTGAAATAAAGGATTGTTTTCTCGATTTTGCAGACGAGGAAACTGAATCTGAGAGCCTCCAAGTAATCTAGTCAAAGCCGCGCAGTGAAATACATACATTGCAGAGTCAGGGCTGAAACCCAAAGTGAGGTTCTCCATCCTGAAGCTGGAAAAAGTGTAGGTGCGCGGTTCAGACCCCAGGCTGTGGGGGCCGGCCGCCTGGGTTTGACCTCCTGCATTGCGTGTGTGTCTGGGCAGCTCCTGTGCCCTCCCTGTGCCCTGGCGTCCTCAGCTGTCGAAGGGGCGTGGTGGGGGTCGGGGGGGTGGTGGTGATGACAGCACGTGCCACACACCGGGCTCTCGAGGAGGCCGGCCCCGAAGTGGAGCCCAGTGCACCTGACGTTCATTGGGGACCGTCCTCGGAGTCCACACCTGCCGGCGGGGGCGGGGCGGGGCGGGGCGGGGAGCCAGGGGCCCGAGGGGAGAAGGCAGAAGCAGAGCAGAGCGGGGCCCCGGGCCGGCCTGCCGTTATCTCACCCGCACGGACTTGGACACGCGTGCCTGTCTCTCAAGGGCCTTTAAAGACGTCGCCGCAGCCCCTTGGTGTGCGAGACCGTGTCACCCCCAGCTCCCGCTGTCTCTGAGGGAGGCTGGGGTGGGGGGGCGTTTCGCGTCAGGGAGCGTCCAAGCCAGGGCCGCGCGGTTTCATCCGGTGGCGGCTTCTGTTGAGTCTCTTTCGTTCTGGGACATCCCAAACCCACTTCTCTGTGTTTGAGCCAGGCGTTTCGTGGGGAAACTGGATCACTTTCCCTGGAAAATGTCCTGGACCCCAGATTTGGCTGACTGCTTCCTTGTATCGTGTCATTTAAAGTCAGTGTAGCCTTCTGAACCCCGTGTCTCCCACAAACCCGCGGTTGGATCTGAGTGTCTCTGAATTCTGGTCCAACTTGAATAAACACTCAAGCTGTGCAATGTGTAGCCGAATTTTAGTAGATAAGACGCATCTGATGGGTCATTTTGGTCAGTCCATTCACATCTAAATAGAGGCTAAAGCTTTTGGTTTCCCCCTGTAAGCTCCTGTGAACGTACAAAGCTGTATGAATTCCGTGTGCAGTTTCAGAAATTGAAAGTCGATGGAAGCCGCATCTGCCGGTGGCACCTGGCAGAACAATGGTAGCAGTGTGGCGGACACATGTTATTTGTGGGGTTGTGGCTTCTCAGAGCTTTGTTTGTGGACGTCTCAGTCTTTCAGGTTCTGTAAATTATTTATGGTCTCGTCGGCTGTGTCCATGGGCCCTTTTTGTAGCCTTTTCATAAATTTTGAATATAAACCTGGAGGTCCCCGCTTTGGGCTGTTTGCCGTGTGTTAGAAGCTGGAAGAACGAGTGAACAGCGAATCGACAGGCCGCGGGCAAGTGTTGCCGTCAGACGCGCCCTCCCGAGCGCCGGGCGGGCGGAGGTCGCACAGGCGGGAGTGTAGGCGTGTTCCGGATGCCTGTTCTGGAGAAGCTTTATGTCGGCACGCAGGTAGCCTGTTCTTCCGTGAGTCTGCCTAGAACGGGGTGGTTTGTCTTTGCTTCTGGTTTTATTTTGGTATGCCAGGTACTAGGCATGTTGTTTGAGAGTTACTGCTGTTTGTGGAACCAGGAGTCCAAAACAAAACGGCTGTTCTTTGATGTTCTATGATCGATTTCAACTTAGTTCTTTAACTCTATTTCCATCAAATGGAAAAACATTGAGTCTAGACACTTTGAATGACTCAGCCACTTCCGACAAAACGTCGGTTGTGCCGTGCCACTTCATTCGGGTGTCAGACCTGCTGTCCTGCTGCTGGCCTCTGTGTGAGGGCGCCTCTGGAGAGGGTGGGCAGGGGTGTGGGGGGAGGGCGTCCCCTGCGCTTGCCTGTGTCCGCGTCAGGGCAGCGGGTGCCCCGGCGCTGTTTCCGGACGCCCAGGGAGCCGGTGGGTGGACCCTGGGCTCCTGCCGACTCTGCAGCTGGAAAACCAAGGGCACTTGTAGTTCGACTTCTTGGCAGCGGCTGCACGCATGCGGCTTTACCTCCCGCCTGCCTGCCCTCAAAACACGGTGTGCGTGCCCCTGAGCGGCTGGTCCCAAACCACAGCCTGCGCCCCGGCTGCAGAGGGGAGGCGTCCATCTTCGGTCCCCCAGCTCGAGAAGGGACACCAGAGGACGCGCGGCGGGGTGTGGGACCCAGCCCGTGTGCACTGACTGCGCAGTCACGGCTGCCCTCGGCGGGAGGCCGGGGAGAAGCAGCGGAGCGGCCAGGGAGCTGCCCGAGCCCGTCTGCAGGGCAGCTGGCAGGGGCCCCGAGTTCAAGTCCTTACACAGAGTTTAGAGCGTGTCTTCATCTTAAAATGTGTCACGAAAGGCTGGTGTCTATAAAGAGGGGTACAAACCATAAGAAATACACGCATTTCCTCAAGAAGGCTCCTTTGGTTTTTGTTTCTGGGTTTTTTGTTTTGTTTGTTTTTTTACCTATTTTACATGTCATAGTGTTACTTTGTGTCCATATTTTGATGATGTTTTATACAAAACATTTTTATATATATTTTGATTTTTTTCCAATAAGGATTTGATTACATTTTTAAAATATCTTGATCTGTATCCTTTCAGGAAAACAGAATCAAGCCACCCAACCTGACCTCAAAACAAACGTTCCAGTGCTCTCTGACTCGGGCCCCTTCCACGGGACCCCCCCTGGCTCAACACCTCCCACCGCGTTCAGTAGCCGCGGACCGCAAGGTGGAGCTTCGGGTCAGCCAGCAGGGGCCCTGCCGGCCCGTGGCCCCGCCTCTCCAGCCAGACCCTGCCCGGAGCAGAGGGACCGCCCTGTCCGACCAGGCGCCGTGCAGACGTCTGGAAGCACTGCAGCCCACCAGAGGAGGCGCTCAAGTTCAAGACACAAATTTCAGCTCCCGGAGTAACGTGGCCCCGAAACTCACCCCAGTCTTCAGAAATCGGCCAGTGCCGATGAACAAAAAGGACTTGGAGCCCGGCAGCCTGAGAGGACAACAACTCATCACGTACCCAGAAGCAAAACCGACGTTAGAATCTAAGCTGTTTTTGCCTAAAACCAATGTGATCCAGAATGACAAGCCCGATTTAGACCCAGCCATCACAAAAAGATTTAATCCTAACCCTCAGATGAGGGCTTGGAATTTAAAGCAGAAGGCTTCTGGATCTCTGCGAGAAGAAAGGACCGAGCCCTGTGACGATGGGACAAAACACCCCCCTCTCGGCGGACAGTCGTCCGCTGCGGGGGCCAGTGGGAGCTGGCCCCGCGCTGGCCGCTCGGGACTTCGGACGCCGGAGGAGGACTCAGGTGTGGTGGTGAGGAGTGCCGCCGACGGCCGGGGGAGCCAGGGGGCCGTCTTAACACGCACGTGCACGGCGCAAATTCTAGGGAAGGGACACGAGTCCCTGAAAGGGAAAAGACCACACATTTTTGGATCCGACACGGAAATGGAAGATGCCCAACTATTGCAGCATCGGTCAGTAAACCCAGCCAGAGAGAGTGATGTCAGTGACCGCGGGCTGGTCGCGAGTGAGACAGCCCACAGGCTCGGAGGAGGAGGCCTGCGTCAGGGGTCTTCGGAGACGGCAAGGCAGCCCGGCGCCGGGGACACCGGTCAGCGACGACCCCGGGCCCCCGGGAGCCAGGTGAGCGCACAGTTTTACTCCGGGGGTGTCTGTCATGCGGCAGGCCGTGAAAGCCCCTAAATAAAGATGTAAAGGGTTTTCCCGCGTCATCCAGGAACACACTGAGACGAAAGTTGTCCCTGACGCAATTGCAAGTATATATAGTTTAACGTATTAGAGATGTGATTCTTTAATCTGATTGCAGATACAGGGCTTGCACAAATCAAAACCCAAGAGGCCTCTCCTCATCCCGTGGGCTTACAGAATGTATGCAAAAACAGGGAATACCCATCAGGTAACTTATCTTTTGATTTATTTTTCATTATGCCACCTGAGTTGGAATTGCCAGGTTTAGGTGTCTCCAGCCTGTTAAGAAGAAGGAGCTACTTTTAGATTCCTTGAAGCCCTAACGTGAGCCAGGAAATGGGAGGTGTTGAGGACAGCACAGCTCTGGAGTGGGGACTGCACCCAGCGTGTGCTGTTGGAGCTGCGGCCCCATAGAGGGCTGAGGCCGGGGGGAGGTCCCGCGGCCGGCCCGCCCCTCGCACGCGGTGCCGGGCGCAGCGGCTGCGGGCCGCCCGCAGGTGTGTGCGAGCCCACGGCCGCCGGAACACACGACCTTCGGGGACTCGTACCCAAGGTGATTGACCTGAAGTGGCGCTTCCGGTCAGTGAAAATTGACCCCAGAAACACTGCGGTGGTGACTACGGGCGAGCTCAAGACTCCGCCGGTGACGCCGGGTCTGCGGCGCTGAGCTCAGAGAGCCGTCTGTCCGTTCTCAGAACGAACACGCTGCTGAAACGTCCACAAACACTTTTGTTTGCATGGAACTATTGGCGTACTTCCAGTTCAAAGTCTTTATGAGCAAACTAGAAAATGTTTTCTCCTTTTTTTCTTCCAAACGCTATTTCTTTTTATAACTAATAGGATTCGCAGCCTGGTTTGAGTTAACCAAAAGGTGCTTGAGTCTCCTGTGTATTTTGTCATGTAGTCTGTGACGTCTTACGCTTTCTTGCTCTCGGTAGGTGGTTAGGGGAGGTGTATGTGCCAAAGCCTTAAAGTCTCCTCTTTAAAGTAAATGAATTCTACTCCAGACTCCGTAATTCTTAGAGGCACATCACTTTCCCACTTTGAATTACTTAAGACCTAAGACAATCTTTAAAATATAAAACCGTTCCTATCACCCAGAAGGCATAACATAAGAAAAATTATGGGATATCATTATAGCAACTAATTTCCCTCAAATACAAAGTTAATAATATATGCCCCTGGAAAGAATTTGGGAAGCACAAAACAGGCTCTAGAGAAGAGTGTGGGAGACCCCCTGTCATTTCTCTTCTTCGCAGGGAGAGCGACTCGGAGCGGCTGACGGGCGCGCGCACACCCCGGCGGACGGGAGTTAGGCCCTCCCGCGGCGGCGGGCCCCTTCTGCCCAGGCGGCCTCCTTTCTCACGGCCGCCCGCGTGCTCCACGGTGCGAGCCCCGTGGGTGGGCCTGCTGCTCGCCGACACCGGCCCTCTTCTCAGCCCTCCGCCATGGCGGCAGCGTCCGGCGGTGGTCTCGTTCCGGTGTCTGCAGATGCCCGCGTGTGTGACTGGTTTTGTTAGTTGAAAATGTCTTTACTTCACCCTTACTATTTCTGTTATTGAAGTTCATTTGCACTCACTTTTTATTATTGAGAATGTGTACGTATACGAGATGTGTGGGGGTGTCGGCCATATCTTTGTGGACTCACTAAATTTCACTTTGCTTTAGCACAAGCTAACAGAAATCCCTCAATAAACGTAAAACCTGTTGCACAGAAGAGCCAGAGCCTGCCATCACATAGCCAGACTTTTGTGTAGAGGTGTCTTTGTTCGGACCTGCCCGTCGGCTTGTGCTCTGTGCTGGTTGTGGGTGAGACACGGGGCGCTGAGAGGGAGCCGTGGGCCCGGCCCGCGCTCCACCCAGCAAACCCTCCTGGCTCCTGGTGGAGACGTGGGAGCCCGGGCGTACGGAAGCAAATGTCCAGGCAAATGGCGAGCAAATGTCGAGAAGCCCCCTGGTACATGTTACGAATAGATCATCTATCGTGTAAGGAAAGAGAGAGCAGAGCTGCTCACTAGTAATATTCTGGCTTTCAGACATTTTAGGTATTTAATTTACAAAATGTGATATAATTTCTGCGATAAGATGTTTTAAAAATTCTCAATGTTCCATTGAAGAAATCACTTAATTTTTAAAAAATATCAGAGAGCCAAGTTTAAGTGGAACTTGGATTTGATTTACTGTTTGCTACCTCACTAAACCATTGCAATTAAATGCAAAACTGAACATGAACCCTACTTCATAACTGTAATACTAATTTTTTTCTCTTGAAACTCTGCCTGGCTAATTTCCTGTATAATGTTACTGTAAGTGTTTCTGTTTTCCAGGGGTATCTCTGCTTTACAACTGTGTTCCCACTGCCCTAGAGAAATGCCTCTAGTTTAAAGCCCACCTTAAGTGTGCCTTCCTCATCCGGAAGCCGGTGGGACAGGTAAGCAGCAGACCGTGGGAGGCAGTGGCCCGTCCCTGTGGCTCCGAGGCCGTGGAGAGAGCATCGAGCATCGTCCGGTGCAGAAGGCGGCCCGCCAGTGCGCGTGCCGGTGGCACGGTCGTCCGCGGCTGCACTCCTCGCCCGCTGCAGCCCCCCGTGCCGGCCCCGCGGCGTGCCGCAGGGATGAAGGCTTACGTCGTTAGTGCGCCAAGCGAAAGAATTCGAAGACAAACCTAAGTAGTGTGCAGTAGCTCCCGGTTCTTTAAATAAACATCCGTGGTAGCCCCTCCTCCATTCCATGAGTGTCTGAAACTTGGGATTTATAGTGTGGTTTTCCGTTTAGATAAATGTTAACCTACATGGCAGAGCCTGCTTATGTTAGGTTTGGTCCGTTTTGTGGTGAAGTAGGTTTCTTTTTTGTCTTACAATACTTGTCCTAATATTGAGAGTTTACCCCAAAAAATATGTGTCTGTGCATAGGCGCATGTGTTTATGATGGGCTGTGCACTGGTTGACTGTTTGTTCATTTATTGTCCATGTTCAGGGAGGCGGCTCTGGACCAATTCCTGTGTTAGGGAGAAATCAAGGAAGATTTTGACTCATTTTAAGATTATAATTTCGAAAGCCAGAATAGTTCTAAATTCAATTAAGGAAAACTAAATAGCATTCCCATTAGGTTTTTGATGATCCGTGTGCATTGCGGACACGCTCTGACCTGCCCCGCCCCAAATCACTCTTCGCATTCCCAGCTGGGTGTGAGGTCTCCAGCGGTTGTCGTCTTAGAACCGTACGGAAGTGACTTCCATGTTATCGAGAATCTTGTAAGAGCAGCCATTGCATTGGAACCTATGGCAGTCTGCCAGAATTAATGCGAGACATCTTCATAGAATCATAAAAATACTTTTCATGTATTATTCACACCTTAAACTTCATAGTGTTTATTGCTTACTATATTTGTTTTTGTTATATTTTTATGTTATACATTATTTGTATTTCCTATGTTAACAATATTACTATGACAAACAGGTAAAAAGTACGGGTTTGTCATTGATTAGCTTTTATTTCACCAGCTCGCTAACCAGATTTCGCTCTTTTTCGGAGTTCTCGTCGTCTGGTGTTATGCTGGAGCTAACAGTGTATTAGATAATTTACCAGTACTTAAGAATGATCAGTATTTACAGTGTTCGTAAATGTCGTGGTCATTATATACGTATGCTTAAACTGGGTTGTATCCTGCAGAATGTCTTTTCTAAAATAAAAAATAAAGGTGTGTCAAATAGATGTGTCTTCCGCACGTCTCAGCGACTGTGGGTGGGGGTGGGGAGGCTTAGACACATTACAGGTGGTTACCTCTGTGGCTCCGTGTGCCACGGGCCTGTGCTGCGGGAACCACGTGGCCTGGCTTGAGCCTCCACCACGTCACGGGACTTTCGTTCCCACACGCCCTCGCCTTGCATGTGACCGGCGTGTATTTGGCCACTGCCGCGGGCCCGGCCGCAGGTGCCTGTGGTGTGAGGGGGGACGGAAAACAGACAGGACGAGCGACAGGTGCGGGGAAGAAGAGCAGGGCAGAGGAAGGGAGGTGGCCAAGGGGGGCGTCCTCGGGCAGAGACGAGCAGGGCCCCACGCACGGCTGTCTGAAGGGTGAGCTGGCCGGGCCTCAGGGACAGCCCTGTGCCCAGGTTGCCCAGGGTGACTAGGAGGAGACCTGGTCATACTGGGCGTGGCAGGGACGTTTGCTCCGAGTGAAACTGGGCCGAGACCGGAGAGTGACCTGCCCTGACTCAGGTGTCGAGGGGGCTGTTCTGACCACAGCACTGGGGGGAGAGCAGGGCCACAGTAAAGGTGCTGGTGCACCATCGGAGGTGGAGGAAGCCCTGCGAGGCTGTCGTCATGAGGGGTGGGGCCCCCCGCCCCCCTTCCATCCCCCCATAGGACACAGAGAAAGGGCAGGGCGGGGTTTGATGGCCGGAGGACAGCCTTGCAGTCAGTGGGCAGGAGAAGAGCAGGCGTCCAGGCGGCAGGAGGGGGGCTGGGGCCCACGCTGGGCTGCACGGTGCCGCGGTGACGGCTGTCAGGGGCCCTTTCCTGGGACGGACAAGCGCAAGCCTGCCTGGGCGTCGGGGAAAAGGGGGAGCAGGTGGGGGTGGCAATCCCGGGTGCAGATGGCTCCTTGGGTGGAGGGTCGTCAGCGGGTGTCTCTCCCTCCTTCCTGTCACTGCCCCCTTAGCGGGGGTCCCTTCCCACTTCTTCGACCGCCCCCTTCTGGACTCGGCAGCCTCCCGCAGCCTCTAACCTTCCTCACGTCTTTGGACCCAGCTTCTCTGTTTCCATTGCTGGTCGGATGCACCCAGGACACACTGGGACGCGGAGCACTGGGAAGAGGGGCCCAGAGAGACGCGGGGGGCCCAGGCAGGAGGAGCGTCGGCCCCCGGACACGCGGCGCAGCCTCCCTGCCGGCCCACACTGCTTGGCGTGGCGAGGGCTGCGTGCTGCCGATGCCCGAGCAGCGCTCCCCAGGCCCATGTGCTCATGCGCATCTATCTGCACGGGTGTCGGGCGTCTACACACAGCTCCTCCGAAGCCCTTGTTCACGTTCCGAGTTCCCGGCCCTGTCTCCTTTCCGCCCTCGCGTAGACTCCTTGCTCGGGGAGCTCTCTCCTCTGACTTGGGGAGTCTCGAGGTGGGGGGTAGGCCTGGGAGGAGGGGAGCCGCTCAGGTGTTTGGACAAGCCCTTCACCACCCTACCCCCGCTCGGGGGGTGGGCGGGGCGGGGGCCTTCCCACTTCTCCTCGAAGTCCCCTGAGCACCACTCAGCTGGTCCGGGCCTGGCCGGCCCAGGGGTCTTCCCGGTTTACAGTGCCGGGAACTCTTTGAGAGGCCAGTGTCACTTCTCTCAGGTCTCCGCAGAAGGGCCTGTCCCCCCAGAGATCATGGTCGAGGCTTCTGGGGTCTATCTGGTGTCGACATAGGTTACCCCAGCCGTCCCCAGGCCGTAGGACTGCTTTGTAGGTGGTGAAGCCATAGGGCCGGAGACCCTCCGAGCCCCCGCAGCCCACGTGACAACCACCTCCCCAGACCCCACGAAGCTCCGGGTGCTTGCCGCAGCGCCGGCATACACTGGTCTTCCCGGTTGCGACCTGGACTTCGGTGGCTTCTCTGTGAAACAAAGAACTTTTATGTGTTGCAAAACTGAGCAAGCTCTGCGTTTCCCAGAGCAATAAATCCAGCCTGCCTCTTGCCTCCTAAGAGCTGGTTTTAGTACTTTATAAACGGATGAAACAAAGGGAAGTCGCTTTAGTCATATTTCTCTTTAACCAGATTTACCCCATTACATTACTTTGCTGCCTACTCTCGCTCTGCGGTCCCCAAGGAAACGACTGGACGAAACCGAGAATAAAAGCAACATCAAGTAGGATATTGGACACTCCAGGTTGCACACACCCAGCCGGGTCACACGGTGATCAGATGTAGCCTCGTTAACCTGATGTCCAGTGCATTTCAGCCCCGGGGGCAATGAGAAACAGAATGCTGGTTCTGCGTATATAGAAATCACGTATGTAGAAACACACGGCTCTGTGTGTCCCCGCCACGCAGGAACGCTGACACCCAGCAGGCAGGCTCTCCTCCGGCAGGTCCCTGAATATTGTGTGTGAACCACCAAGGTGACAAAGACTGTGTCGGGCCGAGGACGGCGTCGGCCCAGTGTGTCCCACTGCTCCCTCTCCACACTCGCGTGCTACCTGCAGCGTCTCTGCCCGTGGGGCTCTCAGAAAGGACACACAGTTCCACCTGGAGGTCGGAGACCGTGACATTTCCGACAGGTGGCTGCATTTAGACTGCATCTCCCCAAACTCTTCAGCGTTGACAGTAGTGTCTCACGGT